AGGGGGAGCCCGCCCCTGCGTCCACTCCACGAAGCCGCGTCGGGTCGTGAGCTGCCCGGCCTCCAGACGCGGGGTTGCGAACGCACGTGAGCCCGAGAAGCTGAGCCTGTCTGTAAAACCAGGATACAGCCGGGGTGTCCCCCAGCCGGAAGGAGGACGGGCAGTCTACGCAGGCAGATTTCACCGGCACGCGGGAAACGCGCCGTCTTCGTGAGTGCAGCGGCTGGGGTGGGGGGCAGTTGTCACGCTGGCGCAGGCTTTGCGAAGCTGGTCGTCGGAAGCCAAGGGGACCTGGACGGCAGTGCTGTCCGAGCCGGGGGCGTTCAGAGGAAGGGAGAAGCCGGGGCGGATGTTGGCGGGCGGCCGTGGGGCCAGGTGTGAGGCCTGCTGCCGTGGGGAAGAAAAGGGAGGAGGAAGCTAAAGGGTGCCACGATCTTCCTATTTGTAGATGCATTTCAAATGTCGATGCCGTTTAATGCTGGCTGTCTCCTGTTTTCCCAACAGCACTGTCAGCCTGGGCGTTTTTTATGTAAACAGTTTCTGAAAGCTGCGCTTGAACTCGGATCTAGGAATCCAGAGGCTAGTATGTTAGCCCCAGTTTTAGTATTAACTTGCTTTTCTCTTAGAACGCCGGTTTCCTTATTTACAGAATGGGCACAGTCATACTCCTTTAAAGGGCTGTTGGGAAGATTCCCTTAGTCTTACATAAAAACGATGGTTTCATAAGCTGTGATTATAAACATAATACGAGCTACTGTAAATGTCATTTAAAACAACAAGGTTGGAGTGATAATCGTGGTGCTCTTGCCATGACTGTAGAGAGGGGGGAGCCCAGCCATTGTGCTTCCATGTCTCCATCAACAAAACCAGATGGTGGGATTGCAGACCTCTCTGGCATGTGTTGTCTGACTACTGATGGTGTAAGATTCGGGTAAATCCTTCAGAACAAAAGATGCTATGTAAATCTAAGGGTGATGAACACTTTTTTCTCCGAGGTGTTTTTCAGAGCATAAATGGTCAATCGTTTATTTTTTGTGCTTGATATTTCATGATCTCCTTTTGGATAAAGAAATGCAGGCAGAGAAAGTTAAATCTATAAAACAGATCATTAATTGACAGAATCAGAGGTGGTATTCTTTCTTTTTCTTTTTTAACAAACCCAGTTTTAGTGTCTAGGATCATGCTTCTCTTTTTTACTATTTGACTACCCACTCTGCTGGGGAGTTAAGCTGCCAGAAAATTATTGGAAAATTATTTTGTCAGTGTGTTTTATGTTATTGCAAGAGAAAAGCAGAAGACAAAATTCACCCCCCCAAAATAACCCATTTACTAATAGCAACTGCCAAAGAGTTTATTTTCCACAGTGACAGATGTCATGGTGTGGTCTCCAGCTGTTGCAATTAAATGTTCCTGTCATTGACCTTCATTAAAATATTTGCTCAAAAAATCATTATGGTATGACTCCTGCTGATACTGACAGTTTGTGTCACCCGAATCACATCAGCCCGCCTCCCGGCACTTGTGAGTCCTCAACTTTTAAATAAAGGGATCTTGGGAATTCTAAGCTGGGCAGATGCTGCCCTCCAGGGGCCTTTGCAAATGAGTGGCCGTGCTGAATGGCCACACCCCATGATGCTGAATGCCCTGCAGAGCATGGGACAGCCTTGCAGTGCAAAGCATTGTCCCACCCAAAATGCCAGTGGCAACCTTGACTCTCTGGGGTCCCTTCTGACAGGCAGGGATGCCACGCGTCTGCCCATCTACCGATCCGTTCAGCCACCAATTATTGAGCCACAATGCAGGCTGCGCACCAAGCCTCCCTCACTCGAATGTCCCGAGACCCTGGCTTGATTGTGACCCCTTTCCTTTCTCTTCTTTCCAAAAGTCTGTCCTTCCCCACAGGACCTCCTGACACACATAACAAGTTTTCAGCTTGAACCATTAAGAGAGCTTTGGGTTTTCTAATGACACCAAGAACCAAACAGGTTTATTTCCGCCCTCCTCAGCAGCCGATGACGTGGTTTGCTCTCAATAATTCAGGAATGGAGCTTTGCAGCTCCACTGACCAAGGGCTTCCAGCCAGATAATGAAATCCCAATTGTGGAACGTGGAGCTAAATATTTCAACTCGATTCAATCATTTTAATTTTTTAACACAGAGCACCAACTGTTTCATGCCCAGTGAACAGTTTTCACTGGCAGACTGAAATTTCCTAATATACTTAAACAGCATCTGAGGCTAGTTGTGAAACCTGCCTTAGAGCATATTTCCCCATCAAGTAGGATCATTAAATTACATTGCTAATTAACTGTGCAGTGAGTCACTGTGTGCTGTGGTATAATCCTATCCACCGCCACCCCCTACACTCAGCCCTTCCAAGAGTTCCAAGGCTGACCTTTGGGCTCAGCCCTTAGCCAGTGCCACTTAGCACCCACATGGTCCTCCCTCACCGTGTCATCTCACAGCAACCCCAGGGACCACTTGAGTGCTTGTTTCATTTTGTGAAGGAGAAGACCCAGTGCGTAGAGGAAGAAGCATGAGCATCTGCCCAGGTCACAAAAAGCTTTGAGGCAGGAGGGGATTCTGGGTACTGTTACAGCACCAAGAAACTGCTCTGATGCTCAGGGATGCTTTGACAGCCTTTAATGAATCTTGGAAACTCTGTTTTGATGTTTCGGGTTACTAAAGGTCTTTGCAGGCATTTGTTTCTTAACTAGTCCCGAATACTCTTCGTGAGCCCTGTGGTGCTCTGGGTCCTGGGAACACAGTCCTGCCTTCATGGACCTCTGGATGCGTGGGGAAGTCCTACGTTATGCCAGTAATTTCATAGTAATTAAGTACTGTTGCAACTGAGACGACAGAGAACAGGTTTCAAGGACAGAATGAAACTGGACCTGACCTAGCCTGGGGATCCAAGAGGCTTTCTTGAGGAGACCACACACAAGTGCAGGCCTGAAGGAAAAGTGGGCGAGAAGTTCAAGTTCAAGAGGTGGAGCATTCCAGAAGGGGGGGATACATGAGTGAAAGCCCTAAGGCAGGAAGGAGAGTTTTATGCCACAGAGGAGAGTGCTAGCTCAGTCTAGGTGGCAGAAATGGGAGAGGGGGGCATGAGCAAATTTGAGAGATGTTTAGAAGATTAAATTGGCAGATCCTGGTGACCAAAAGGGTAGGCAGTAGAATGAAGGAGTATTAAGGATCACTGCCCAGTGCTGGCTGCTAGGTGGTAGAGGTTGATTAAGATTCTAGCAAAGAGCTGTACTGAACAGTTGGACAAATCACAAGTTTCTAATGTGGCACATGGAATTTGACGTCCTGTGTGATATCGGTTTGTCTAGTGGAGACCCTGCCTTGAAAACATATCCAGAGATCTTACCATGGTGTGGTAGATACAGAATCAGTTCCCTGGAGCCCAGAGCATGTGTTTGTAAGCAGGGTGTAGAACAGCACTGGGGGGCTCGTAACTTACAAGACACCTTCATATATATCATCTCTGAGCTTCCTACTGATCTTTGGGGAAAGTTATCCTCTTCATTCTACTAACAGAAAATGGAGGCTTTCCTGAGTTTGTGATTTGCCCAAGGTCTCACAGCAATAAGTGAGGATCTGGTGCTGAAGTTCAGTCCTTCTGGCTCCTGGCAAGGCTTCCCATTTCAGCACATTATCTCTCTGCATGAGTGGGAAGAACTCTCCACCAACTCCTGGGGCTTACTGTGTCAAATGGCATTTCATTATTTGTATAAAATGTATTTAAAAATTAAATCAAATTCACTTTTTCTACACTTTTTAGAAAAAAATAATCTTTTTTACAACAGTATTTTTAAAGTATGTGTAAACTTTTGAGACCAATGTTTGTATTTACAGTTGGAGCAATCTTTTCCTTGAAGAGTGAAATGACAAGAATAGATGAACTTTCACTGGTAATGGAGAGGCAGCTGTCAGAGAAATAAAATTCAACTTTTGTCTAAATTCTAACCGTTTATTAAAAAGTGTAAGACCTCTGCACCCTCACCTCCCGGATCCACTCCCAACGCAGCGGGGCCATCGAGATTGGCTCAGTGGGCTCTCGCACCCCAGGTGTCCCCACGGAACCTGAGGCAGCTCTGCGGGAGGCGGAGACGTGCCTTCTCCCTCCGCCAAGGTCTGGGAGACGCTTGTAGTTCCGTGAAAAGGTGGGGCGAGCTCGCGTCCGTTTCAGAGTCCGTCCCGGTCCACACGACATCTCCGCTTCCGCGAACGCGCAGGCCCTGCCCGCGGCCCTGGGCGGCTCTGCCGGCTGCGCGGGACCCGCCCCTGACGCGCCTGTCGTCTGCCCCCTCCCTCCCGCAGCTCCTGGACTGCTTCGTGATCCCCGTGGTGATTCTGCTCTCCTGGTTCTTCCTGCTGATCCGGTACAAGGCTGTGCACTTCCTCGGCATCGTGGTCTGCA